TCCCGCCATTTTCTCTCCCCTCTTCCCACCATTTTGTCCCCTCTTCCCCCCCTTTTCTGTCCCCTCTCCCCCCTTTTCTGCCACGTTTCCTCCATTTTCTGTCCCCTCTTCCCCCATTTTCTGCCCCTCTTCCTCCTCCATTTTGTCCCCCCTCTTCCCGCCATTTTCTCTCCCCTCTTCCCACCATTTTGTCCCCTCTTCCCCCCCTTTTCTGTCCCCTCTCCCCCCTTTTCTGCCACGTTTCCTCCATTTTCTGTCCCCTCTCCCCTCCATTTGTCACCTCTTCCACCCCTTTTCACCCTCCATTTTCTGTCCCCTTCCCCCTTTTCCATTCCCTTCTTCCCCCTATTTTCTGTCCCCTTCCCCCTCGTTTCTGTCCCCTCTTCCCCCTCCATTTTCTGTCCCAAATTTGCCCTTTTTCTGTCACCTTTTTCCTTCTCTGTCCCCCTTCCCCCCGTTTTCCATCCCTTTTCCTCCATTTTGTGTCCCCTCTTCCCTCTTTTCCGCCTCCTATTCCCCCCGTTTTCCGTCCCTTTCCCTCCATTTTCTGTCCCTTCTTCCCCCTTTTTTCTGTCACCTCTTCCATGTTTTTTATCTCCCTTCTTCCCGCCATTTTGTCCCCTCTTCCCCCCATTTTCTGTCATGTTTCCTCCATTTTCTGTCCCCTCTTCCCCCCCTTTTCTGTCACCTCTTCCCCCTCCATTTTCTGTCCCCTTTTCCCTCACTTTTCTCCCCTTTTCCCCCCATTTTGTGTCCCCTCTTCTCTCTCACCTCTTCCCCCTCCATTTTCTGTCCCAAATTTGCCCTTTTTCTGTCACCTTTTTCCTTCTCTGTCCCCCTTCCCCCCGTTTTCCATCCCTTTTCCTCCATTTTGTGTCCCCTCTTCCCTCTTTTCCGCCTCCTATTCCCCCCGTTTTCCGTCCCTTTCCCTCCATTTTCTGTCCCTTCTTCCCCCTTTTTTCTGTCACCTCTTCCATGTTTTTTATCTCCCTTCTTCCCGCCATTTTGTCCCCTCTTCCCCCCATTTTCTGTCATGTTTCCTCCATTTTCTGTCCCCTCTTCCCCCCCTTTTCTGTCACCTCTTCCCCCTCCATTTTCTGTCCCCTTTTCCCTCACTTTTCTCCCCTTTTCCCCCCATTTTGTGTCCCCTCTTCTCTCTCACCTCTTCCCCCTCCATTTTCTGTCCCCTCTTCCCCGTTTCTGTCACCTCTTCCACCTCTTTTCTCTCCCCTCTCCCCGCCATTTTGTCCCTCTTCCCCCCCCTTTACTCTCGTTTCCTCCATTTTCTGTCCCCTCTCCCCTCCATTTTTGTCACCTCTTCCACCCCTTTTCACCCCCCATTTTCTGTCCCCTCTTCCCACCATTTTCTCTCCCTTCTTCCCCCCTTTTCTTTC